AATTTTTTTTTTTGAGTTTTTGTTACACAGTTGTCAATTCGCTTTTTTATGCTTTGTTTTTTTATTTTATCGTTGATGGCATTTCAGTTTTTTTTGCTGTTGTTGTCTCATTCTTTTAACTAAAAATTATTTTACTGTTGCCGTTAACAAATCTCTTAACGATGACACTGAACGGCAGTTGAAAAGCTAAATGAAATTGAGAAAAAACAAAGCAGAAAAAAAAAGCTGAAAATAGAAATGCAAGACACTTTTTGAATAAAAATATTTTCGAAAAAAAAGTAAAAGAGATTTTTACTTTTTTTTTCGTTGATTCGTTGAGTCAAATTTATCTTTTTTTATTTCAATGATTACTGTACTTAAATTGCAAAAAATTTGCAAAAAAAAAAATTAAACTGAAAGACAAAACAACAGCAAAAAACAAAAAAGATAAATAGATTTCAAATAGAGAACAAATTAAAAAGAGTTTAATTCTGTTCTGCTTTTTTTCCTTTTTTTTTTTTTTTTGTTGCTTATAAACAATATGGAAACGACTTTTAGGTGGTGGTGGTGGTGGTGGTGCTGACGATGGTAATGATGTTATTGACGTTGCTGCTCCTAATGGTGATGGTAGTTGTGCTGATGCCGCCGTTATAGTGGTGGTGGTGGTGCTGTTGCTGGTAGTGGGATGATCGTAGTTCAACTCTTTTTTTTTCTCTAATTTATTATAGCATTAAAAAAATTGACTGACTTCTGAGTGAAGCGGAGAAGAGTCTTTTTGAAAACTGCTGGAAACAGGACAGGAGAGGGAAAATGTTTAAGAACTTACAGAATGACATAAAAGCATTGAGGCGACATTCATTTTTTTCCTTATTTGTTTAATTTCTAAAGTAAAATATAAACGAACGAACAGGAAAAAAGAGTGTCAAGCAGAAAAAAAAAATAACGAAAACAACAGTAGTAATTAGTTGTTAAGGGAAGGGAGCAACTAAAGAAGAAGCGAGAGAAGAAGGAGATGATGGTGATGATGATGATGATGATGATGACGAAAAAGAAGACGACCACTACGGCAACGAAGACGAAGACATAAAAGAAGACGAGTATAAATTGCGAGAAGGAAAGGAAAGAAGAAGCGAAAATGCGTGAAAAAGGAAGTTTTCTAAAAACACTCTTCAAACGTAGCTTTTTAAAAAAAAAAAAAAAGGGAAAGCACAAAAAAATGGAATATCTGAATTCCACTATTTTTTTTTCTGGTCGGGTTAATTTTTTCCTTTCTTTTTTTTTTTTTTTTTAAGCAACAAAAGATTCTTCAATTTTTCATTGTGCAGTAGTGCGTTCATTATTATAGGAGATTAATTGAAAAAATTAAATGAATAAATCCTTTGAGAATTTTGGTTAATAGTGTATCGTTGTTAAAGATTTCATTTTTTTTTTTTTTTTT